AAGATATTTACATTATATTAATGGAAAAAAATAATTAAAAACTTAAATGTTTGATATTATATAATAATACATAATATATGACATTATAATATTTAATAATAATGATTACAACAACAACAATAATAATAATAATAATAACATAAAAAAAATTAGTGATATCCCAACWAAAACACTACGCCAAACTCCGTGTAAAAAAACGCTCAGTATAAAAAAAATCCACCTCAAAAAGTTGTGATATCATTTTATAGCTATGTATTTAAACTATATAGGAATAKAWATATTATTATAATTTATGTTAAAATTCATTGCTTATAAATTGAACTTAGCTGGTGACTTTAAAATTATAACATTTAATTAGTAATTTTAAATTTATAACAATTAATTTATGTAACACTCAATTAGTATCACTCATTTTCAAAGATAACATGTATACTCAATACGAAATGAATTCTCATGAGTTTTAAATAAAGTCACCAGCTAAGTTCAATTTATAAGCAATGMATTTTAACATAAATTATAATAATATATCTATTCCTATATAGTTTAAATACATAGCTATAAAATGATATCACAACTTTTTGAGGTGGATTTTTTTTATACTGAGCGTTTTTTTACACGGAGTTTGGCGTAGTGTTTTTGTTGGGATATATTATTCAATAGCAATATTTATCTGCAGATATTATGTAGCTAAATTGCCTAGCTAGGACGCCGTTTGATCGTAATATTTAATTCTATTGAAATTGTAGGTAAAATGGTAAAAAATATCAATCTAACGGAAATACCAAAATAAATGTATGAAAAGATACAACAGTAGTTAAGTTGTAGTTTGTCAATTATAGTAATCGTTCACTTAGTATGCCTGAGTTATATCTTACCATGTGCTAACTAGACTTTGGGACTTATATATTAAGGTCTCTAAAAACAATACACATTTAGAACTGTGCACCAACTATCCATTAAAAATATCAATTACTTTTTCATTAAAACAAAATAACGTCACGGTGACAAGACATACAAAACCGTAGGTATTCCGTGAAAATTATGCAATATTGCAATATATGTCACAATATAGAAATTATAGTTTTTTTAATACGTTATACGTTAAACATAATATGCAATAAAAACAACTAAATATGCAACAAAAAAAAAAGGATATTTTTTATTCACTTACAATTGATTATAAAACGCATTCAACGCTTGTTCGTTGATAATCGGCGATTAATAATCACAGTAGAAATCGATAACAAAATCAGCAGATAACTTAAATTAGAATCAAGAACCTAATACGAAATTATCTTAATATTATACCAAAAGACAAACATTATCACTATAATTGTACGGCGTTGCATCAGCGTAATTGGTTTATTTACTTAATCTATGCGTTTACAATTTATTTGAGTTCGATTGAAAAAAATTTTAAATCACATTTACTAAAATATAATTTCATAAAATATGACAGATTTTGATCAAAAACATAAAAATCCAAAAAATCACTAAAAAYTAAAAAATCGCAAAATAAAATGTTTAATTTAAATTCTCTGTATCATGAAACACATTTTTAGCTCACTCTGTTATTTTTTAAACATCTCATAACAAATTTGTAAATGCTATAAAACCCCAACCTTGGCTGTTACACTAGTAGTTTCATTGTTAAATACGTACTAATTTTTTATTCAGTGTTTCATAACCAGTACTCAATGCTAGTTCAAAAAAGATGTTTAACATTTATGTATTTTATAAATTATGAAGAATGTGTTGCATATTTTTATATATTATGCATTGCATATAATCAATATATTATATATAAACATATGTAAAATTTAGAATTATTATTGGTTTGACTAAATAATTAAAAATTATTTTAGTTTAGTATGCTCTGTCACTGTTTTTCAGCCAGTTCAGTAGTCTTATATATCGTTTTTATATATATATATTTTTTTATAGATCATATGCCTGATAATTTTGGCCATTAGCTGTTTGCAGGAGGGAACGGTTGGTTAAGACCCTAGTGATTACCCATCCAGGATTTAGCAACACCAACCAATATGTACACTTAAGAGCGTTTCCACAGTTAAGCGTACGACCGATGCCACACTAAGCCACTTTTCACACATATATTTCTCGCTTAAGTCTTACATAATATACATTTTGTATTATAACCTATTTTCATTGATTAAACACATTCTTTGTACTTTATATTTTTAAACTTATAAAACCTATATTCTCACAGTGGATTAAAAGCTTATTCCTACAATTGGATCGTTAACAWCAAGATTATAATATTATTGTTTTAACGAGTTATTCAAGAGATCTTTAATGGGCTATATTGTCTCAAGCTACAAACAGCCTTCTATCAGGAAGGTACAAATGTCATGAATACATCACTGTACTGCTTTATTGTAGTTCACAAATAGACATATTACATTTAATATTTCCACAACTAATAACAAAAATCAAAAATTTCAAGTTTTTACATTGTAAAAGGATAATTAGGACATATAAAAATAAAACATCATTTTATAAAAAATTTATACAATTCTTCTTTTTTTGCAATAACAAAAAACACAATAAAATTTGTTTTTCTTACAAAACATATAAGTCTTTTTTTTTCTTTTACCAATTTCACACTTTTATTGTTCTTTCACACTAGTCATTGGGAATCGATTAGTGTTTGGTTTATAACTAAGGCACTGATTTACATTACACATTACAATTATTTGTTGTTTTTTGTTTGTTACCTTTGGACTAAAATCCAGTCTTAAGGTATTTTAAAAACAATTTACAGTTAAAAATTTATTATACAAGTCATCTGTTCCTTAAACTAGGCACTTAATAAAAAATATAATAAATTAATTAAATATTTTTCAATCAGTCGATAAGTCTTAGGCTAGCCATAACTTTGCCCTTCCATAGTGGCAACATCTGATTATCGTCAGTGATTTCTTCTTGGATGCCGGTTGATGGAGATTCATCAAATTCAGTAGTAAAAAAATACCTGTTACAAACGTTACATGTTATAGATAAGCTGGTAAAGGATTTTTTTTGTTTAATTAATAACCATGTTATTTAATCTAAAAACAAATGTCTCACTCTAAAAAAACTGTTACCTGTAATGTCCTTTCTTTGGCATACATTCAATAAACTGTTTTAATGTGATTGGATGTCCGGCTATTCTTTTCCTGAATGGGAATTCTTCATCATTGAAATTGTACACAACAGTAGTGGTGGTTGGGGGTGCAGTTATTGTACTAGATGTTGACGGTGTAGCTGATTCTTCTGCAGGTAGTCCACGGCCAGATGATGAAGAAGAAGTCCTAAATATTATTAAATTCTGATGTAAAATACTAAATAGTCCATTTTATGTGTGAAATATTTATAATTATTCCAAACAACAGCCCTTTTCATTAACAGACATAAAAAATTATAGTTTACCTCTGTTTGTGATTCTTCTTCGTCATTTGGTCATTGAGTCTACGCCCAGCTTCTATCAACTGATTGTCTGTATTTGGGAAAGGAGGTGGTGGCATATTAGGGTCGGCAACAAATGGCTGCTTGGGCATGTGATTTGTCCAGGAGCCACTACTACCACAATCTACGTTACCGCAATCTAAAGAAAAAATCAATGCATATTATAAATGTAAATAAAAAAAATAAAAATTATTAAAATACCGTGGGAAGAGGCTTTTGCAGTCGTGGTATTAGCGGACGCGGTACACCAACTAAAAGCTGGACCTGAGTCAGCGAGTGCATCACCAGCACACATTGGACTTTCTTGAAGCCATACCATACAACGATTGGTCGACCTGCTATAATAGAGATAAAACAAATTAATTATTTTTTCTGTCAGTGAATATACAATACCAATTACTAATGCACACAGATGAGTTAAAATTAAAATTAAATTAAAATATAAAATAAAAACAAACTTACTCCTCTCTTGTCTTGTTAGCATTGGTAGGCAATTGTGATTGTCCTGATACAACACTGATTCCACTGTCAGTCATTGTACGTCGGCTACCCCAGGTGTGACGTCCTAAACCTTATCATTAAATTGAATATATCAGTATTAATTATTTAATTATATTTCAATATATGCATACTTGACACTCTGAGCTCTGGATTTGGAACAAAATTTTGATAATCTGGGATAGATCGACTCTTTGGCACATGGCGGCTGGGTTCAGAACTGTCTGCTGTAAAGTCAGTGTAATTGCCACTATCGTATCCAGATGCCCGATTATCCTGATAATATTTAAAAATTTGTTTAATATACATATAATGTTATTGTATGACCAAGAGAAAAACAAACATACTTTGTCTCTGCGTTTGGACAAATTAGGATTAGCTGCTGCCAAATAAGTACTGGCAAATTGTTGAACAGGCCGATTGACTTTGCCTGACCCTTGTCGCCTGTGTAACGATTGTTCAGGTGATTTAGGAGGCGATTTAAAGTATTTTTGTACATGTTGATCTAAATGTATAATAAATGGAAGTTAGAAAATAATAAGAAAGATAGATAATAAGAAAAAACAAGGATGTATACTATCTTAAATAAGAGTAACCTCGGTTGGTGACTGATGTTTATGTGATCTGTCAAGACTATATTTAATAATTAGTTTTCATTTATTTTTGTAGTTAGCTTTCATTTCTAACAATTGGCTGTGACCGAAAAATTGCTTATCATGTTTATAAAGCAAAATTTAATCTAGGCGATTGATATAAGAATAATGTGACTCTCTTGAGAGTGCAACTTRGCTAGTTAGTCATTGAAATTGCCTTACACAGAAGCTGGCCAACCCGAGGTTACTGTCATTTGACATAGAGTATAGGTTATTTAAGATGTAAAAATACAAATTTACACAAGGTAGTTGATTATTGTTTAGTTAGTCATAAATTATAAACACAATGTTTTAATGATTTAAATGTTAATAAAATATGCTTGTGATTAGTATATATCTTTATTATTTAATGCAATGTTAACATTTGATTCAATAAACACACCTAATATTTCATCGTCACTGCCATCAGGTAACTTTAAAGATGCTCTAAACATTTCATCTAACATTTTAGGATCATCAATTTTGCCAGATTCACTGTCGAATTTAAGCTGAAATTAAAATATATATATATATAACAGTTCAACACAGTTAACAAAAAAAATTATTCAGCTCACAAACCTCTGAGAGATTTTTAATCATTTTATTATCCCACTTTTCTTCAATATCACGTTCCACTTTTATTTTTTCTAACTTTTCAGTGAGTATAGAAGCAAACATCTTTGGTTCCATTGCTGGTTTCTAAAAACATATTTGGATTGTTAAGAATAATGAAAGATCAATACACAAACATTACTTACATTGCACTGGGGTTCTCTCATTGTACGGGGAATGATTGTAGCAGTCATTGAACCCTCAACATTCCTTCGAGCATATTTTTGCACTTCTTTCATTTCTAATTGAGCACTTTTTTTGGCTATTATTTTTGGATCACGAATCTCAGCCAATTGCCTAATAAATTAATTTTAATTAAAGCTTTTGTTTTTGTTGACATTTTTGTACTTACATGATTTCTTGTCGTAAGTAGAAGCAAAATTTCAAAATGACAAAACTTACCTTCTTAAACAATCTGTAGAAACAGACGCCTCACTAAGACTAGCCAAATCACTGTCCTGAGCTGAAGTTGGATTGTAAGATATGTGCGTAGCTCTAGGTTTTGTGCCCCACCAGGATTGGTGATAAGGGGTACTGGGATTTGGGTTGTAGATGCCCATTTTTGAAGTCTTTGCTCTACAATTGATTACCAAGCACAAAAAAAAAAAACAATGCAAATACAATACAATAACCAAAAATAAAATGCATAACTATAAATGATATATTTAACAGTAAGCATAATTACTAAATACCATTTATTAAATAACAAGCAAAATGTGTTTAAATGTTCCATTTTAACAATTTGTGTAAAAAAATTTAATGTTAAAGTATACTTTTTTTTACTACTATTAAAGACTCATTTCTTGACTAATAAATTTTAATAATTAAACACTCAAAAAATAATGATACTTAAAGCATCTTTAATTCACATGCAAAAATGTTTAAATAATAAAATATATATTACCTCTGTAAAAACTCTCCTTTTTCCAGATGAGACCGTTGTTTTTGGGACATGTGCAAAAGGGACTGGGTTAATTTCATGGGAAAGTCTTTAGATTGCTTAAGTTCATGACTGGACAATTCAGCATCTTCTTTAAGAGTTAACAAAGTTTGACTACGATCTGGAGGTGCTTGATATCTTGAGGGCACCACTTTTTCTTCAGTGTCTGGTATATGGTTCACTACTTTACCATCATAAAAACTAAAACAAATAAAAAATACATAAATAAGTTTTTAAGTATATAAGAATGATAATAATTGAGCAATAATAAAATATGAGCTTACTCAATGCCACAATTCAGTGACCGAATATAAGAGATATAGGTATCAGATTGTAGGAATGCCGGATACAATGTATCATTTAGAAATTTTTCCACTTGTACAAGGGCTTCGTCAAACAGATTTTTAGGAAGAGCTGTTTTGTTGGCAATGGATACTTTAACCCTCTGCATGACGTGCCTTCGACATTCTTCATCTACACCTAAGTCTGCTTTTAGGAACAGTTTTCTAAAAAAAAACCCCAAAAGATGTTACATGAATTTCGTAACTACCATTAAATAAAAATATATTCATATTATTATAACGTCAAGAATTTACTTGTAAATAATAGAACGTAGTTTATCAGCTTTTTGGTCAGTGTGACCATATAGCCCTTGGCACGCTAACCAAAACTCAAGAACCTTGCTGCATTGCTGTCCTTGTCCAGATTCTTCTTCCAGCTTCAAGTTTTGCCGGAAAAGATTTACACCGTTAGGATCAGCTAACAAGCAATCTAAGTTACGGGCCCATAACATGGGCCCAGAGTTTTGGCCATCATTTGGGGATAACGATCCCCGATCACCACTATCACCGTCGGCTTGTTCGTAGTCGTGGCGTGCACCACATCCAGCTGAAAATATTGATACTTTTCTAATGAATGCACATTTATTTATTTATTAAAACATTATTATTAATTCCTTACCATGTTCCTGAATGCTGCATGCACGGCATTTGGAACCAGCCATTAATAATTCGGTTTGTGTTTTGCGACATCTTACACATTTGTTTTCTTTAAAATTGAAATATTAAAAAAATATATATAAGTTAAGTTTAAATACATAATAAATTTAATTATAAGATAGCTTCAAAACACAATAAACTCACCAAAACTGTTTTTGAATTTTTGACCTAAACATGCGTTGTCCTCAGACGATCGCTCAGACTCTTCTCCCGGTAATACTTTTGGTCTGGCGGAGTCAATTAGTATATTATTATTCATCATAACCGTGGGTATGGAGCTATTGGTGTCACGCTCCTTACTACCTCTGTTACAGGCATTTCGAAATAGATCTGAAACATAAAAATGGAATTGTTCATGATATAGTTTTTATTCTTTGTTTGCATTATTATTATTACTATTATTATTATTACTAAACAAGGGTTAATGAAAACAAAATGGCCGCTTAGTAGTAGCTTAACTGTTGTATTAAATAGTTTCAACATAATATACTCAATAAAAAATCTCAATTGCCTATTTTAAATGATATGTTATGTCAAAACAAAATAATATAATGATTTTTATGAACGTTTCAAGCAAAAAAAAATGAATATTAAAGAATTACAAGTTCATAAGGTATTATTACCGGTTTTCAACAAACATTAGTTATGATAAGCCAACTGAATAGAATAAACAAGGAAAAATATGAAGGTAAAACTATCCTACACAATACATACCACAATCCATTCTGTATGGTTTATTATTTATATTTTTAAGGTAAAAATAATAATACTAAAAATATGATATGGGTAAGCTGCGCACAACAGAACCGGACTCAAGTAGTTGTCGATCGATGAAGCGGTAGTACGCAGAATTAACGCATGTTATGGTACCGCTGTATAACAACCACCCGGATAATCGATAGCGAATACAGTTCCGATTGGAGAACGGGGAACAATAAGTCATAAAAATATGATATGTGCCAGAAGTAGGGTCTTTTTATTGTACAATAGGATATTCTAAAATTATGATTTTTTGGATCAATTCATATGTCTATCAATATCTAATAAGTGGCAGCAGTCCTGGTACAGCTTCTCTTAACCTTAAATTGTTGAGATAGGTATACATATTTTTTTTATTGACAGGGACCTTTTTGAAAAAATATGGAATTACTCCAAACAATGAGATATTATATATTGGTATTTAATAGTAAACAAATGGTATACTTCAATACTTGTAAACAGCTGAAACTAAACACAAGGAACTGATTTAAAAAAAAAATAATGCATTGATAGTATTAAMAGTAAATATTTTTTGTTAAAAACAAAAATAGATGTACCAGGTAAGTATTTAAATTATTAATAAACATAAAATAACATTTAATTATGTTGATAAATAATTAAATTAATCAACATTTGTGTTAATATTTCTACAAAATGCAAAATATAAATAGTATTTATTTATCATTGAAAATGTATTAATCCTATGCAAATGGATAACTGTTATTGTATATTCATTTTCACAATAATTTATGTTTTTAAATTTAGGAAAACATTGAAACTATGATGAATGTTATAGTTTATAATTATTCAAAAGATATATAATCAACTTTTAATTTAAACAGTAAAAGTAATCATTATTAATTATTAATATAGCAATTATAATTATTTTGTTATTACAACTAGAGAATTTAAGAGGAAATGAAACTTTAGCCCTGTTGATATCTAAATATTATTCAGAAGTAAAATTGCAAATCATGAATTAAAATATAATAATGATAAATTATAAGTAATGAAACACAATAGGTTATAGTAAGATAAGATAAAGGAATTATTCTAAATAAAACTAGATCAATTATTTGGCTAGGTAATCTAACATATTAACTAATTAAGTAGTTAATAAATTGTCGAAAGGTTTTTTTAATAAGAAAAAGAAACAATTTAAATAGTGTAATTCATGATACTGAAAATAATGATAAATATGAATATATTAATTTAGTAATATTATATAGTGTAATAGTTGGAATAAGTTTAAAAAAATACTTATTTATTATAGCGAACCGGCAATTTACAGCACCAGAATACATATAAAACTATTAAGTACTATATTTAAGACCCAAAATATACCAAAACTATTATAGCCATTTCAACGAGCGATAAAAATTACGTTTTACCTCTAAGTCATTTAAAACAATAATACGTATACATAAGTTGGTTGGGGCGGTGGGATCAGTGTTCTTAAAATCGCGAAGCAGTGAGAAAAATGAAAACAATTAAATTGCCTTTCGAAAATCGCATAAAACAACTTGGATAACGATATTTTCTTTGAGAGGGTTATCTTACCAACTAATACAATATTATAATATATTTTTTTTTCACTCAAGAAAGACGTTTACAGCGGTGTAACGCCACTGCATTAGATATATTAACCAATATACGATTATAATACTGCTACCATGCTGCTGCCAAGCAAGTACGAAGTTGGAGGTTAATATAATAACACCGATTTGCGATTACCTACTCTGTACCAAGTACATAATATAATACCTGCACAATACACTCGCCAGGAAATTACCACGAGATCGAATTGAAATAAAATTTTAGATGGTTGAGTAAAAAAATTCTCAAAAAAAATAAAAACAACATAATATTATAACGACAATTTTGTCAATAGGAAAACGGGCGCAATGAAGTAACGAAAAACGATCGCTTCCCGCAACCGATGATTTTCGCTGATAGTGGTGAGAGGGGAGGGAGGGGCGCGTGTAATAATAATAATAATAATAATAATAATAGGAGACGTTCGATCAAACTATGAGCAGTGAGCACACATATCATAATAATATTAAAATACATATTAATATATTATTTTTACAATGCGACGAAGTACCGGCAGATATCGGCAGCTATATTGCTGTATAAGTTTTTGGTTTTTTTTTCTTTCGCGTATTCCGGATTCCCAAGGTCGGCGTCGTATGATGGAAAGGCGGGGGGAAAAGGACGAAAAAAAATATGAAACGCAGCCGTCCGCGGCTCGAGATAAAAACATAATATATATCATACACCTGTACACGCGTTGTATTACTATATATTATTCCTTACATTTATATATATGTATATATATTATATATATATACACGAGCGTCCCGACGAGATTTTTACAACAATTCACTCTACCGTGAAGCGTAACCGCCTCGGGGCACTCGGCCACATGTAATTATTGCACCGGTTGCCTTATACCGCCGCCTCGGCCACCGCACTCCACCACTGGTCCACCGGCGCAGAACCGGTCGGCCTCTTTGACGCCGGGCTGCGACGCCGACGCCGCGCCRCCAGTTCGTGTTCATTACAAAATTACAYTCTCCCTTCACCCCGATTTTCGCTCGCCTCGACGCTAGGCACACACATAAAGTTATATATTTTTTTTCCTCTCTCGGTCTCTTCGTTGGCGCGCGGCTCGTAGGTTTTTGATTTTTATATATATTTTTATTATTAATTTATTATACACTCGCTGCGGCGCGGCGTGCAGGTGTGTGTTTTCTCCGCGCGCCGTTTGATTCCCTAAACTTTTTTACTCGTATACATTTCCCAAACCCCAACCCCTCCCCGAGCCATTAACTCCTTCTGTAAGTGTGTGTGTGTGTGYGCGCGCGCGCTAGCGCACGGCCGACATATTATTATATTGTATACATAAATACGAATATATTATATTATAATAATATACACGAAAACCGTATTAGGTATAGGATAGATATATACCGCGATGGCGGTAAAGTGTGCAGGCGTGTTATGTACCTATAATACAATATTATATTATCACATAAGATGCCGACGAAATAGGAATAGAGTGTAAAACCCAACCGGGTTTACACGCACATGCCCGCTAATGACAATGTATTACGATGCGTTATGGTATAACAACAATATATTATAATACGTATATTACATTATGTATGATATCTGACCTTTTGTCCGAACGATAATCCATAATCGTATGTGATAAATCGGTAACGGATCGGACGATTTTACGTTATTTCTCTATATATCATATAAAACCATTCGTATGTACAATAAAGTTTAACCTGCAAGTGCAGTAAACCGAAATTTTACTTAGACACAGTCAACAGTATATTATATCATTAGCGAGCAGATAGACGGTTAAATAAATAAAAAGTAAAAAAACATCAAAGGCCCCGGAGTAAATGGATTCCGGTTCTTTCGTTTGTATGTTTTTTTTAGATACTTCTTTACTTCTTTTATTAACCGTGTATCGAATTAGCAGCAATTCGAAAGTTAAAGATAAATCGCCGACCGAGATGAAATAAAAGATTTCTTTTGGGAAATATACATCTAGTATATTCATTATATTATTATATTGAAAATTCTATTAACTCACTGGAGACGATGGTATACGGGTCAAACAAATAAAGATGTTGACCACTGGATCCTATTATATCATACAATATATATATATTGTATATACTGTTTTTATTTATTTATTTTTTTAAGAACGAAATACTCGATCGAATTAAAGAACCTATTCAGAAAGAAAATATATAGGTTCATATCGGTTACTTCTGTTCTTTAAAAAGGGATTGACATTTTACAAAAGATTCATACACTCGACTACATTTTTTTTTTGTTTGTTTGTTTTTGTGTCTGTGTACAGCATAACTAGTCGAAATAATGCTTCAATTTCAAACTTTGGGGGTGGTTTTCTATGTAAAAATGAATATCCTTGGTGCATTATAGCTCAAAAGTAAACATTTTCCAATAGTTTTCAAAAAAATCGAGAAAAACGAAAAAAAATGACAGAAAAACGGGATTTTTTTCACAAAACCAGTTTTATTTATTTTCATATAACGAATTCAATCAATCAATCTGTAGAATGTTAAATTAAATTTTATAATAAAAAAATTAGAAAGTATAAATCATTGAGTTAATACAAGTCTGATACATGATAAATGTTAAAATTTATTATTGTTATTGATTGTACTAATTGTACTTGAGAATATCTGAATATATATAATTATACGATTGTATATTATTTTTTTATGTATCTATTATATATTGGTCCATATTACTTATAAAACTTATAATTTATAAGTTTACAGGTATAATATATTAATAATAGAGCAATAAATAGAAAAAAAAAGAATTACGAATTTGGTTTTATTTTAATATGCTAACTTTTCAATCACATCATATTCACATATTTAATACATAATATCGAGCATAATATGCACATTGGCACTATAACTTAATTTGGATATTATTACATTGTGTTTTCACTAGTCAGACTAATAGAATACTACGCAAGGATATGAAAAAATCTAGGAAAATTACATTGAATC